GCCAAAGATTCTACTAAAGGCAACCTATTTGATTCCAACTTTAAAATAACATTTAATTTACAAGCATATTTGCTCTGAATAACTGTCAGTTGTTGAGGTAGTAGTTTATTTTGCATCAACTTGTTTACATGAACAAGAAGTTGACAATTTTTATCAGCCAACTGTTTTAGATTAGTAAAATGGGTACCTACAATAAAAAATGCTGCTTCCAACCGGGTCCCCCATCTTGTCATTACTGGCTGAGGGGTAAGAGGAAGATTAGAAGTTTCATGTTGTAATACTAAATTCTTAAAGATGCTTTGAGAAAAATTTTTGTATATTTTATACAAGTTCATTAATAAAACGAAAATATTTTCTAATTTCTTCCGCAATTCTTTTAACACCAAGGGTCAAACATGTTACATGTTGAACTTTTGAATAAAATATTTTAATATGTTGTCCTGCTTTGATCATATAGGACCATCATCAGATAAGAACAGCTAGAACTTTTCGCAAGAAAATGTTCCTAGCTGAAAACTGTAAGAAGGTAGACAGGCATGGATACACATTCAATGCTAAGAACCATACAAGTGAGTTCACTTTGCTCTTATGATGGCAACCTTCCGTAATGGAGAGGGTATGTAAAGAAGAAGAATGTTATGGCCCAACCTAATGGCTTGGGAACTCACAGAAAATAGGAAGAGTAACTAAAAGAGAATAAGTAACATGAACAGAACTTAAAAGTTGGCGAAAATGGGGACGATCTGGAAATTCCTAAAAAGGACCTGTAGGAGAAGACAACATAGAGAAAAAAACCGCATCGGGAAAGGGAAACCAAAAAAATTAATACTACATAAAATTTTAATTTCCTAATTGAAAAAAATATTCCCTTATAATATCAATCCATTAACCCTCCGGTACACGCGCGGATTACATACGTAATCCATTGAATTTTATAATATTGCTATTCGGACTATACTGTATATAAAGTTGCCTATCTTCTTATAGTTTCAGGGCATAGTATAAGGAACTGTTTTAGTATGCGACTGTCGCTTGATGTGTGTAGGTGTAAGAAATGATTGTGTTCTGTTATCACTGTAATCCACGCGTGTACTTACGTAACCCTAAACTAAAAATTATATTTTGTATTCGGCGGTTGAGGTATTGAATTGAGATGGAATTGAATGATGAAATAGAGAACGAACAGGAGCCGGATATAGATGGTAGTGACGACGGCAGCTGCTCAGATGAGCAATATATATATCTGATGATGTTCTAGAACAAGACTGTACCATGTTTGAATAAGAATCGGAACAAAACTGTGATGAAGAGGTTCAAGGGGAAGAAGATGGAAAAAAATAATTTTAAAATACTATCTTGGCAAAGACAAAAAACAAAGTGAAGTAAGATTACCATGACCAATAAGAGAAGCTAGAAACGCAACAACACAGTTTAAATGCTTCAAATGTATGCTAGATGATAATATCATCAAAGAAATTACGCGTTGTACCAACATCTATATTGAGGAGATAGCCAATTTCCAACGCTACAGAGATGCTAAAATGACCGACGTCGAAGGGATTTGGGGACTTATTGGTATACTCTTTTTAGCAGGTAATCTAAAAATAAAAATCTGAAAGACTAAATGTTTTGCAAATTTGGGATAATAAGAAAGGTACTGGTATTGAAGCTATTTACTTGACAATGTCTTTAAATCGTTTCCGATTTCTACTGAGATGTTTGAGGTTTTACGACTTTAATTCTAGACAACAAAGGATGTCTAGGCTGGATAAACTTGCTCCTATACGAGACATTTTTAAACATTTATTCAAACATTTTCAAAAAAAATTTACAACTTCAGACTATTTAACAGTTGACGAGCAATTACTTGCTTTTAGGGGAAAATATCAATTCCGTCAATACATCCCCAGTAAACCATCCAACTATGGTATCAAAATATTTGCATTAATAGATAGCAAATATGCATATACCTATACTATGAAGATTTACTGTGGAACACAACCAACTGGTGCTTTTTAAACTGATTGGAGTAGCACAGAGGTTGTTAAAAAAATGGTTAAGCCCATAGAAGGAACGGGCAGAAATGTAACCATGGATAACTGGTTTACCAGTATACCTTTGGCCATGGACTTGCTTCAAAAACGATTAACTATTATTGGTACAATTCGTAAAAATAAGAGGGAGCTACCACAAGAATTTATAACGTCTAAAAACAGAGACATACATTCTTCACTATTCGGATTCCTCAAAGAAAAATGTATCTTGATAATGCACGTTCCAAAAAAAAATATAGTATTAGCTGTTTCGACCATGCACCATGATAACAGTATTGATCCTGAAACAGAAAACAAGAACAAACCCGAAATAATAACGGATTACAACAAAACAAAATTCGATGTGGATTTGGTTGACCAGTTGAGTGCACAATATGATGTTTCCCGAAACTCTCGGCGTTGGCCACTCAACGTGTGCTTTGATTTATTAAAATATCAGGAATTAATGCATTTTCCCTGTATAACCTTCGACCAGGCGCGCCCTAAATAATTACATCATCAGGCGCGCCGCAGCAATTTGCTGCCATGTAGTTTCTTATTTTTTTGACACTTTTAATTATTGATCAACTGTATCGTTATTTATTTTGTCAAAAAAATAAGAACGATTTATTCAATTAACTAATTTTAATAAATTGTACAGAAAAAAAATTTAATTTATTTGATCATTACAATTAATACATACAATATTAGATTTAGAATGTCTTTTACAAGTGAATGCACTACATTGTGTACATTTCATAGAGGTACCTATACGACTTGATTTTTCACTGTAACAATTGCAGCATCTACACGTTTAGCAGGATTCTTGTCTTCTTAATGGGGTACTGGTTGCTTCGGAAACATTCTGGACAGGAACTCGGTCATATCACGTGGAAGTGTTTTAATTTGTGATCGTGTATGATGGTGTTCTTTCGTCAAGTTCATCGCAAGGTTTTTGAGAACATGTCTCCTTTTGAGTGATTTTCCAGAATTTGCAGCGGAATGTAGAGCAAAAGCATTTATGCCTCAATATTCATTAAATTATAGAATATAATACACGGCCATCTTTTAGTAATACGTGAAACACTGTATGATGAACATAATTTATCTATAGTATCAACTCCTCCTTTTGTTTTATTGTAATCTAAAATCAACTGTGGTTTCTTAATATCCATGTCAACTGTATTTTCGTTGTGCATAGACGATAATAATATGACTGACTTAATTTTACGCGGCACGTAAGAGGTAATCATATAATCTTTTTGAAATCCAAATGTGCTAGATTGAACTGCCCTTGATTTATGTGGAAGAAATTCTTGAGGAATTTCTCTTTTGTTTTTCTTCAGCGTCCCAAGCAGAGTAACTTTCTTCTGTAGCAAATATCTAGCTAACGGAATACTAGTATAAAAATTATCTGTTGTTATGTTTCTTCCTGTCATTTCTACGGACTCTATTAGACGTTTTACAACGTCAAAGGCCGAATTTGATGCGTCGTATGGGCCACTTGACTGTTTACCGCAATATATCTCTAAATTGGCGGTATAAAATGTTTGAGTATCACATAACGCGTACATTTTTATCCCGTACTTAGCAGGTTTGTTGGGTATATATATATATATTGTATCCAGCTACACCTATTTCTAAAGGGATGGAGCATTTCATCAATTGTATACTCTGACAAATTGTATGAGTTTTGACAATTTTTTATAAATCTGTCAAAAAACGATCTAATGGCCGACAGCTTGTCTATTTTACATCTATCACTCCTTTTATGTTTGTCATCAAATCTCAATGAACGTGCAATAAATAGGAAACGTTTGTAGCTCATTACTGCTCCTTTTCCCAAAGTTCCATCACATTTGTGTGATCGAATTAAAAGAAATGACCAGAGACAGATCTCTGGAGACGGACAATACACGACATCACGTCGACCACTACACTCCCCCTGGGGGGTCAGGATTGAAGAGAGAGATTGATATTGTACCTATTGTATTGATATTTATTTTATTATTATTGATATTTAGAATTTCCTCTAATTGTGCTTGGGTTAACACTTCCTTTGGATTTTTACCAGACATGGCGTAATCTAAAATTATAAAATATGTTATAATATAGAATTCTACAATAATCTAATATGCTTCATATATATTATTAATACTTATAAATAATTATATTATTAACAATTTTACTTACCAATAAAATTTCAATTTCTCGAAAAAGATATATTAGTTATTTCAAAAATAAAATTGCGCGAATTTCACTACCAGGCGCCTTGCAGCAATTGTCTGCCTCGATGCACTATTCACAATAAAGTACGAAAACTAATTTAATTTGGATTTCACAAGACAATGATGGGTACCGACTAAGGATTAACCGATAAGGGAATTTTAAAAATATCACGTACATAGCGTATCCCGTTAACACTTTACCTGGAAATATTGAGTTTACGCAGCAAATTACTGCGGCGCGCCCGGCTGAAGGATAATGTCACTGCATCACTCCCAAGAAGTACTTTTCTTCAAGACATTTCGTTTGAGTTAATAAAACCACTGAGAGCACAAGAAAATGGTGCAGCGGCTGTGATCAGTGCACATGACCAGTATATTTTAAGCAAATATATATACATTGTGCTGAGGTAAAACAGAACATGCAGTCTGAACCAGATTAAGATGTTATATTTAGGATATTATAGAACCTAGTTTGGTTTGTAACGTTTGGTTATAGGTAACTTTGATTTATAGTATTTGTTTTTTTAATTTCCATTGTTTTTTTATTTCTTTTTAAATTTAATGTACATTTTACTTATAAAATAAAGCCAATTATAGATTGCAGTGGTGTTATTAAAACCTCATTAAAACAGTAACACTATTTTCAAATAATATTGCTTTTACAGTACGTATGGATTACTATTGTAATACACGCGTGTAGTTACGTAAGAAAATATTATTTTATATTTTTATAATATAGTTTTAGACGAAGGCGAAGTGGCTCTTTTGACCATGCCAATGCCAAATGGGGCAAACCCGAAGATGAATCCAAACAGAAAAAAGAACCCCAACAGAAAGACAAGCCGAATTTTGGCTTATCCGGAAAACTTACGGAAGAAACAAATACCTATAAAGGTGTAGTCATTAAATACAGTGAACCACCAGAAGCAAGGAAGCCAAGGAGAAGATGGCGGTTATATCCTTTTAAGGGGGAAAAAGCGTTGCAAGTATTGTACATTCATAGAGAGAGTGCATATCTTATTGGCAGAGAAAGAAAAGTTGTGGATTTACCTGTTGATCATCCGTCTTGTTCCAAGCAGCATGCAGCTCTTCAGTATAGATTAGTGCCTTTTACTAGGGAAAATGGAAGTGCAGGTAAATATATATTACAGTTATAATTATCATTAATATGCTTTTTAAGCTATATCTTCAGTTATATCAGCACGGACAACGACATCATGTATCTAATTATAAAAGACATCTCATTATATGGCATTATTTTTGAAGATTTCAAAAAAATACCAGATGAATTGCAAAGGAAAAGGTATCTAAATTTTATTGAAAATAATCACATCACAATTTTAATTGAAAATTCTTTTGTTTCAACATTTCGATTTCCAGTCCAAAATTTTCCAATTCAAATTCAAAATAAAATTCCATTTGAAGGCTCTAAATAATTGTTCCGGGAATTTTTTAATGATGGTGTAATAACATATGCGTTGGTAATATGATGATGCATGTGCCTTTTGGGCTTAGTTTGTAAATTAATATGTGTATGTTAATTCACTATATTAGTTTATTGATTATTTTTATAGTATCGAACGGTAAACGGAGTACAAGGCTCTTCATATCTTTCTATATACAAAACAATCAGTGTCTACAAATGATCTCAGTTTAAGTCCAACTCGGGTTATTGTATATATTAAACATTTTTATACAAATTATTTATAATATACACTATATAGCATACTTATTGTATGTCCGTAAATGTTCTTTTTGAGTAAATCGATTTTGAATGTTTAAGCTCTTGTAGCACTGTGTTACATTCAACATTAAACTTTGCATAATTTTTTTATGATACGTCATTAAATGGAAATTGAAATAGGTAATAAAAATAAATATTTGACCTCACAAAAAAATTAAAGAAGAATACTTAAGGCTGTTTTCGCAGTTATAGCATACTGCGATTTGAAGTGGGCGTATCACTTACTTTTCTACACGGCTTATGTCAGACCCTACGTGACTTCCTAATTTGAAATCTGCAGTTTTGATGTTTATTCAGTGGCGCCGGCCCACGAGTTGTTTAATGACAATAAATGCATTATTCTCCATTCAAATTAGTTTTGTCGGAATACTTTTTTTTAGATTGATTATCGTAGATAATGTTTTAAAAAGAATTAATCACATTTTTAATTTATATGTCTTAGCTAAACATAGTATTAAATAAAAATTTGTGAAACGTGACTGCAAAAAACACCATGGTGTTTATTTATAATAAATTTAAAATAACATAAGAATATTATTATCAAAAAAATTACAATTTGTTGTCACAAACAAATAAAACAATTTCGCAGTTATAGCTTGAAAATTATTTCAAGAAGTTATTTATATGTTAGAGAAAACTGATGTTACGGTAGTAAAAATTAAACAAAAAATATTTTTATTTATCTATAAAATGTTGGTACCTGCGAAACCATCATAATAGTAAATGTATTTATCTGGCAAGTATTTCCAGGCGCCACACTGCGAGGAAAAAGTTCTCTGAATGGAATATACATTCTTTTAATATATTTATAGGTTGCAGTTACATAAGAAAAGTATTCAATTGATGAATAAAACACAAATCGTGGATAGTTATTTCATCATCATCAGTGGCATTACAGCTCGTGATGAGCCAAATGCTTCTTCAAAACAATCTTCCATTCGCCCCTGCCTCTGGCAACTTTCTCCATGCTTTAACTCCGATGGATTTTAGATCATCCTCTATGTTATCTTGATACTTAAGTTTTGGTCTTCCTCTGGATCGTCTTCCCACTGGTCCTCTTCGGTCGAAAATTTTTCTGATCGTTTCATCTTCATCTCGCCTAATTACATGTCCTATCCATCAAAGGCGTACTAATTTAATAAATTTTACAACGTCAGGTACTACAACTGAAGAAGCATCGTAGTTTACTTTATACGATCTTTTTGACCAAGCACCATCAGCTATAACGGTTATTAACCCATTTCCGTCGGAATCTACTTCACCAATTTCTTTGGCTAAAGCTAATTCCTCCCGTCCAGCCTCTTCTAAGGAATCACAAAGTGTTTGGCCGATGATATCTGCAACTGTCTCCGTATGTTTTGCATACTGCCTGTAGGACATCACAGGTATATTTAATGCAGCGTGCTGCTGCTGTATGTCTGAATAACCAGAACCATTCAAGTTCAGTGAATTGTTACCAGAATCCTATGTTGCTATCTCCTTTTCAATATTCCACATTTGACATTTAAAAGTCAATGTACTTATCAATCCGTCCAATTTTTCTTTGATAATCTCCATATTTAACATAAAATTTAAAGTATTTTCTGCAAATGATATTATTTGTTATTATTATTATTTAAGAGTAAAACATTGGTAATATTTTGACCATAATCAAATAATATGTAAGGTCATGAACCCTCTATTTACTTACTTTACGGTAAGTAAATAAAAAAAAGTAAAAAGGGTTACTTACGAATCGACACTACAACTAGTTAAAGTAGTTGTTTCTGCTAATTCTTGATAGAATAAACTATTTGATGAAGAACTTTTGTTTATAGTAGCTTTTTTGATTTTTAAGTTCCTAAAAATATGAGAAAGAAACAAAATTATTCTAGGAAAAAGATACGAACTTACTGAAGATGAACTATTATAATATTTTTAAAATAAAACAAACAACGGGTGTTTGTGAAGAACGTAATCAACGCTATATATACTTCATCTAATTTAGATAACGACTTACGTCATGATCTACGTCAGATATCGAAGTTGACATAGTTGCCAAAATATAAAAAAATCCTGACTCCATTTTAAATCAAATAGATCACATAATTATTGCAAAAGTATTACCATCGCTTTACAATGACTATTTAAATTCTTACGTGACATTTTTGAAATAAAACACACTAATTTTGTTCTAAAAGAACAAATTTTATTAAATAGGAAAAAATATAAAACAAGAGATATTCATTTTAAAATTCAAAATAATAAAGTACAAAAAGTGTCAACACCGCAACTGTCAAGTAAGTGTTAAAAATTTATGCCAAAATTTTACCTTCGTTCGATTACAGTTACAGTGTGTTCCGAACAAATGTTCTTGATAAAAACGCTTTATAATGTATTTATACAAATTAAATGAAACATATTATTGTGTATTTCTTTAAGTTAACGGTATATGTACTCGGTAAAGTGATTCTAAAAAAGAACACACCTTCTCCCCTCTACTTTGACCATCTAAGAGAGAAGAAGATTTTAGAGGTTAGTGTCTTCCAACCTACAATCAACCACGTTGTTTCACTTTACATGACACTCTGTACAGTTTAATAAGAAATAAGAATTTATAAGATGTAAAACTCTCGAGAGAGGACATTCGGTCCTACACACAATTAGTTGAAATTGTGCATTGTCTTTGTACCAATATATATATATATATATATATATATATATATATATATATATATATATATATATATAAGTTAAATAAAAGCTTTTAAAAACGGTTGTAAATATATAAATAATAAATACTTACTGCAGTGCAATTGCTCTCCTTTTCCTTGACCTAGGACGTTTACTGGGACTCATTTTTTATCTTGTCTCTTATAACTTATATCACTAACCTAATGTAATACTTAAAAATACGCGTAAACTAAAGAACTTTTAACTTATACCACTAAACTAATAATATATTACTTAAACAAACCCGTAAACAAAATAATTTCAATGTTCTCAAAATAAATAAGAATACTGTAAACTGTAAAAACTAAGCAAGTTGATAAAGAAAATACAAGAATGAAAGAACTAAAATGGATTCTGATTCAAGCGAACTAACTGACCGTACCCATAGAGAAATATAAATAAGACCCTACCGTACGTTCATGAGATTTGACGTCACTAATGCGATAACGATCAAGCTAAGCGACAATGATGAGGAACACGTTTCACTATTAGATTTCAATATTTTTTAGCAATTTTTTTCAAAGTTTAAATACGCTTTTCTCGATTATTACTGGACACAGAAAGGTGAAAAAAGAATCAACGATTACAAAAAAAAAACTCTTTCAACTGACGGGCGTGAAAAGTTTGGTTATAATAGAACGTTAAACAGTATAATCCAATTTTTCAACAGAAAATTCAAAAAAATAAAAAAAGTAAAACGATCATTTTAAAGGCAACATAATTTCGAATAACGAAATGTCCAAATTTCGAGACATTTCGTCGGTAAATAACAGAGAAAAAATTTTGGTGCACCGATAAAACTGCCTTAAAAAAGGCATGGACGTACAATAGTTGACAATACAAGTATAAACATACAATAAGTGTACATCATGATTTTGATTTAATAATTGGACGTTTTATGTAAATAAAAATAAAGAAATAATAGAATATAAATGTATTTATTCATGTTAACAAAACAAAGAACGTCACCCGTTTTCACTTTCAGAATCACTTTCTATTGGAATTCTGTCTGGCTAATTGACTTGGTCGGTAGGGAATCTATCACGCCTTTGTAGTCTTTAGGTATAACTCCAACATTGCACAAGTATAATAGATCTTTTTTCTTGCGATGGATATTGGCAGTTGCTTGGAGTTTTTTTCAATGAGACTTCTTTCCAGCTAGGTGATTTTCTTGTACTCCTGCGTGTGGCTGACACATCCAAATAGTAGGAATCTTCATCATATAAGTTAGTTATATTTATACTGTATGGTGAAAGGCTTACTTTTTTTTAAAGCGAAGCCACTTAACAGTTTCATTATTCACGTTCAACTTTGTGTTCATAATCGAGAATGGTCAAAGCTTGAAAGTCAAACATGTCCTCATAGCCTACAACATTTGTTTTGTATGGCCCTGGTTTGCTTCTCTCCATTTCGATAAGAAGAGCCCATTCTCGTGTAGAATAAACTGATTTGTGTTTTCTAGCCCAATCGATTCTTCTTCTTAAGTTCCATCTTCTATCTAAGGTTGGAAATCATCATGGCTATGCGGATTCTGTTGACCCGCTCTAAAAAGTTCTGCACTACTGCATTCAAACCATTCCCTTAAGTTCTTAAGCCAGGATATTCTTCGTCTCCCCACATTTCGCTTTCCTCGGATCTTGCTTTGCATAATTAGTTGTAATAATGCGTATTTTTGTCT